AAGTAATTTCTTTAATCAGGGCATCATCGATAAGAATGGAGACTATTTCATTTAATAAATGTTTTTTTTTATATATAAGTTGTTCGGATTTTTTCATCTAAAAATAAGCGACATTAATTTTTTTGACGACCTAATATTTACAAAAAGCAGTTTATGAGATATTCAATTGCTTCTTTTTAAAATTAGCAAAATTTGAAAACGTCAATAAACACAACTATGTTTTCCATGCAAGCAGATTAATCTTCAAGATAAGTTTGCCGTTATAGTATAATAAAACTTGTGAAAAATGTCAGTGTGTTTAATTTTCGTGTAAGGAGTTCCTGTGAAGGTTAAATTCATCATATTCATCAATTAAAAAAATAACAATTGACTAGAGCCTGAAAATATTCTGATTTAATCTTCGATGCCTCCTTATTTATTTTATTTATTCATTTCTTGGTGTCTACTTCTTCAAAAGCGTACATCAATATCGAGATTATTGTAATACATATAAAGTAAAAATAGCACAGCAACTTCGTGAATGGAAAATACTTGAATACAAATTTCAATGAACTGGGCTAGTATATCATATTATTTTATTTACCCACGTGCCTAGGAAACGTCTATTGATACTAAAAAAAAACCTTCGAAATGGTATTAGAGTAACAATGGAATATATATATACAGGGGCTCAAAAGAGTGTCTCATGCACATAATGGAGTTGTTTTTATAAGGACTGGAAAGATGGTGAGTAATTCCCAAAATGAAACAGTCTCCTTGGACTGACCCACCCCATTCTGTTTATGTGTGCATTGTGTGTGTTTGTTATCTTGGTAGAATTTGCTGTCAGGAAATATATATATGTTTTATATGTTCTAGAGTTCTGTTGCTTTTGGAGCACAATGTACATTTATAAAACCGAGCAAACTTTCTACGGTATTTCATTTAACACGAGTTGTTAATACAGCGCTTGTGTAAACTTCAAATAACACAGATCTTAAAAGAAAACATAATGCTTAATGATACATAATAATATCTAAAAATGAGACATGTATAAAACCGTGAGACTTGGGTATGAGTGTATGAGATTGTTCTCATGTTTAACTAATCTACAAATGATTAACACAATGAATGCTTATTGTACTTTTCCCAACACGAAATCAAAGTTCATGTTTGACAACAAAGGTAAAGTGCCTGAACATAATTTAGGTCACTCTCAGCTGAAATGATTTTATAGTATTGCACTTAAAATAAAATGGAGTATTTCAACCACACTATGTCCATCATATCCATTACAAACATTGTTAAATACCCAAAGAAGATTTAATGCAAACAGAATCAAAGATGTATAGATTATATATAGTTTTTAAGAAATTGTAATAAAAGTGTATACTTTACTTTTGTGTGACCTATTTCCATTTCTTTGATCTTTATATTTACCAAGGTTTTTCAAAGTTGCTTAGTCGTTGTCATATTTAATCAACGCTTGAAGTTTGAATTTCCTTTAAGACTGCGCATATTTTTAAAAAGTTTCTTGGCCTTGTTCTTGGCCAGTACAGAAGGCTACATGGTTGTTGAAGACTGACTTGTATAGTGTTTATAAACACCTAAACCTTTTGTAGAAGTGTCGGATCTTTAGGATAGAACTGTAAAACACTACCTCTGAGATTTTGTACAAAACGGGTGATGAAAATCTTGGAAAACTGTTGAATTTGGTAAATTTACATATTTATAATTCTTCTGATAATTCATTGTCTCACGAACCATGGCAAATTTACACAAGTTCGCCTGTTCAGTTTTATATGTTTTATTGTAACTTTAGCGAGACATGATATTCAGTGTGAATGGGAGAATTTCCCCTTGTAAAATTCCACCTTTCAAAAAATCACCATCAACGGTGAAGTCACACCCACTATCTAACGGTTCTAAGCGAAACGCCAAAATTGGAATTGTGTCTATGGCTGAAAGGTTCACGTGCTTACCATTTCTCATTGCTATCAAGATGTACGGAATGAAAATCCGAGGAATATCGCCTCTCAGCAACGTTAACCATATGGTGTCGTCGTCGTGTTTAGCAACCGGTGCGAGCGATAAATAAGCAGATAATCGGCTGACGTAAGAGCATGCAACCATGTAAAAGTCTTCTTCTATAGTTTCCCAATCATCTGGCACAGGTTGAACCCACGATGGCAGCAAGGATGTTACCGTCTTCCACAAAAGTCTTGATGAAGAACCATAACCTTCTTCTAGACCAATGGATTCTGCCTCCTGAGACAAAAAACTGGTCTGACGGGATGCTGAACATTTAGAGTTTCTACCTTGGTAGAAATAGTTTTTTTGTTGGTTGTTACAAATTGGATCACTATATAAGCGTAAAAGTGTGGATTTCCTGGCTAGCGCCATCTTGGCTCGGTTCTCTTCTGTTGCTCGTAGGAAAGACAGGCGACATCTGTATTTCTTTGGACCTTAAATATAAATAAAAATACAATGTTCGGAATAATATATTGAAATAAATAGAATAGAGGATGACCATGAAAAGGTTTAAGAATGCAGTTAGGATGTGGAAATATATTAAGTTAATCGTTTATTATAAGAACTTCTGAGTGCAAGAAAACAAGAGTGGGTAATACAATATCAACCACGCTATTATTTACATTATCTGATTCGCTGAGGGAAAAATACATAAAAGTCAAGGTAAAGGGGAGTGTCACCCATTCAAATACAAACATCACTTTTTAAAATCTGATTACTTTAATGGACAATGGAACCCAATTATTGAAGTTTATCTAAATCTGGTCGGAATCAAAAAGGTATTAAGCCAGATAACGTTTGATTTAGTAATATACCTGAATATGTTTACTTACTGGCCACATTTGATATGGCCATTTTGTACTTTGAGGGCAATTAATTTTGCAAATTCCAAGTTTCTTTGCAAAATGCTTCTGAAAATAAAATTATTTTTAAATATTAATTATTTTCACATAGGTTTGTTTGTTTGAAGTTAAACACAAAGATACACAATGGGCTATCTGTGCTCTGCCCACCACGGGTACCGAAACCCGGTTTCTAGCATTGTAAGTCCGCATATTTTCACAGTTGAGATCCTCTTCCAGTTTGTTATAAAATTTAGCTCAGAATGAACTACATTAAACATTTGCTTCATTTTTCATAGCTTATAATACTAGAAACCGGGTTTCGATACCCCTGGAGGACAGAGCACAGAATTCCATTGTGTAGTTTTGTGTTTAACTTCCAACAAATAAACATTTTTCAGAAAAAGAATATATCTATATATATACGTATATATTCGAGAGAAGACCAGTACAGTTAAGAAGTTGACAGAGGGCGCGAGTGTTGCAAACCACTGAATCTATCTACCGCCGTCCATAATTCTGAATTTCTGACTAGAGGAAGGCAGCCAATCAGCAGCACGTACCTACCCACAATCCTACGCCTAAGGAATTAGATTGTCACTCTTATAACCCATTCACAGCTATAAAGTGACGTGAAATATTTTAGTGGTATAC